AGGCAACTAGCCGAAAAACCTGGATACAGAATTTTCTGAAGCTTAAATACCCTCTAGAGGTTTCCCATTGGTTACTTGGTGTACACCCTATGTAAATGAAGTAGGGGCCCTCGAGCAGTCTGATTGGTGGTGGGAAGGGACCAATCAGAGGCTGAAGTGAAGTTATAACGTGATACCCTATGCAAATGAAGACCTGACCCACCACCAGTCTGATTGGTTATGGGACGGCACCAATCAGAGATACTTTTTATTTTTCATCTGCCACATGGAAAAAGGGGGTGAGGATGGTGGTGGCAAAGGGAGTAGCCCCTGGTCCTTTTGTTACTTGCGTGTGGAAAGCTGGGGTTTTCCTTTTGATTTAGTGCTAGGAAGTCAGGGTGAATCAACCTTAGGTTCCCTGCCTCCAAACTCTGTTCTCCTGCCTCACTTCCCTGCACAAACCTGGCAGATAAGACCTCCTTACGGCTGGGTGCAGTGGCTCACACCTGTAGTCCTATCACTTTGGGAGACTGAGGTAGGAGAATCGCTTGAACCAAGGGGTGTGGAGGTAGCAGTGAGCCGAGATCGCACCACTGCACTCCAGCCTGGGTGACAGATCAAAACTCCGTCTCCAAAAATAAAAAAAAATAAATAAAATCACCAAACATCTTATTTGTGAGCGTATAATGCCAGAGTAATCACAGCAATTATGTTAAATTTACCTCCAAAAAAAAAAAAAAAAAATTGCCCTTTACACTTTCTCCTCCCTTCTTTGATTCTCAGTATCTCGAGTTCGCTTCTTTGTCCTGAACAGAATCATAATAAAATCAAGGATTCGAACCAGATGAGGTGGATATGGTAGGTTATGTTCCATGCTTACTAAGCATTAAAAGTAATGCACATCTCCCTTCTGAAGGAAGGAACAAAGGGAGAAAAGTAGTGAATCTTCAAAACATGGTCTTCTGTTGTCATTTTTTTTTTTCCTGATGAATAAGGGCTCATACAAGCCTGAAAACGTTTCAGAGAAATGCAGTGGGTAGGAGCCACTCATTAAAGTCAACTGGAGTAGCTGTGCTAACTTTCTCCCTCCAGGGACAAAAGAGGGATCTGTATTTTCAAGGAGTTTGAAGCCACTGTCCATAGCCACATCAAAGTAGCTGTATCTGCTCTAACATTTCACTGTCAAGTAGGAAGCTGGCAGCAGGCCCAGCCAATGAAGGAAAGTTAATAGAATATTTCTCATGCAGGAGCCGCTGGATTGCATGAAGATGTTGGGGACATGGAGTCAGACCACACACCAGACACACAATATTAAGCGGAGGAAAAAAAAAATACTATGTTTTGACGAGTTAACTTTCAGACAACCTCTTCCCGTTCCCTCTCATGAAGATGTAAATATGTAAAGAGAGATTGACTGAGAAGTCACATTGCTTTTTTTAAAACTTTTAGACAAGAGTTTTGCTCTTGTTGCCCAGGCTGGAGTGCAATGGCGCAATCTCAGCTCACTGCAACCACTGCCTCCCGGGTTCCAGCGATTCTCCTGCCTCAGGCTCCCAAGTATCTGGGATCACAGGCGTTAGCCACCACACCAGGCCATTAGGCATTCTTAAAATATCATACTGCATTTTTTAAAAGTTTTATATCTTTAGCCGGGCATGGTGGCTCATGCCTGTAATCCCAGCACTTCAGGAGGCCCAGGCAGGCAGATCACCTGAGGTCAGGAGTTCCAGACCAGCCTGACCAATATGGAGAAACCCCGTCTCTACTACTAAAAATACAAAATTAGCCAGGCATGGTGGCACATGCCTGAAATCCCAGATACTCAGGAGGCTGAGGCAGGAGAATCGCTTGAATCCGGTAGGCGGAGGTTGCGGTGAGCCCACCGCACCATTACACTCCAGCCTGGGCAACAAGAGTGAAACTCCGTCTCAAAAAAAAAAGTTCTATATCTTTTTTTTTGTTTGTTTGTTTTTTTGAGACGGAGTTTCACTCACGTTACCCAGGCTGGAGTGTAATGGTGCGGTGGGCTCACCGCAACCTCCGCCTCCTGGGTTCAGGCAATTCTCCTGCCTCAGCCTCCTGAGTAGCTGGGATTACAGGCATGCACCACCATGCCCAGCTGATTTTTTGTATTTTTAGTAGAGACGGGGTTTCACTATGTTGACCAGGATGGTCTCGATCTCTTGACCTCGTGATCCACCCGCCTCGGCCTCCCAAAGTGCTGGGATTACAGGCTTGAGCCACCGCGCCCGGCCAAAAGTTCTATATCTTTAATGTACATACATTACAACACAAATATTTATACTCAAATAGTATTTACATAATAGTAATTTTTTTAATACTATAAAATAGAATCCTTGCAACACCAAATTACACCATCTGGTCTGATCTGCCAGCAGATGGCACCCGAGACCCATGGATTGGAAATTTTTACCAACTCTAGAAATGAATCCCCTCCTGCACTGCTCACCCCGCTCCCTGCTGGCTCCTGCGGCTCTGCTGTTTGCGGGAATCATGATGGCTTTGTAGCCGTGTAGAAGCTGAGTCCCACTGCATACCCTGGGTTCTTGTTCCCTCCCTGTTACCAGTAATAGGAAGTGAGATTGAAAGATGAAAAATGCTGGGGCTTCTGCTGAGAAGAGAAAAAAGAACAAGATGTCTTGATCTTACTGTATGCCAGGCCCCGTGCCAAGCCCTAAACGTGGACATCTTACTGGATCCCTACAAGGGTTCCACAAGCTGGAGGACATCGCCATTTTATAGGGAAACTGAGGCTCTTGGCTAAGATCCCTGACAGTAACATCAGCCCCTGAGTCCTCAGCAGGATCCTACACTTGGGTGTCCTTTATGGAGGCTTCCTCAGCACAGGGAAGGTCCCTCACCACCCACAGGCACTTGATCATTATCCACCTTTTGATGATGTGCAATTACAAATCATGCTGCACTAGTCTTCCTTGATAGGGAGAGATGGGGGTGTTAGGAGAAAAATCTCTCATTGATCTGACGTAGCTCCCCCAAAAGATATAGCTTTTAAAAGGTGAGATTAAAATATTTTAAAAGTGTTATATACCTGTATGATTTTAATATTTTACTTAAAGGGAATGTGGCTGTCTTTACTAGCTACAACCAGTTTAATTCAAGAAGGGCCGCTAGTCATCAGGGAATCAAGCAAGCGTTGGTGCCGCCCAGAGGCTCCAACCAATATACAGTACAGACATCTCCTTCCAGGGCAGCGGGATGGGGTAACTGCTTGTGCAGTGAAGCTGACGTCTACCAGCTAAGGCTTCTGGATCCATGTGGAGACTCACAAGGAGTGGCCAGGGTCTCAGCATCTGAAGAGCAGCTAAAGACCCTGAGAAGAAGGTGCTGTACATGTGGATTTGTTCACTGTTCTTACCCACCAATGCTCCAGGCCCTGGGTGTCCACTGAGTGTTATTAACCCACGGAACAGTCACAGAAACAAACGAGGTAACAGATGTCTAAAGAGAAGTGAAGAACTGGGGTGGCTCACACCCATACTTCCTGCACTTGGGGAGGCCAAGGCAGGGGAATCACTTGAGCTCAGGAGTTCCAGATCAGACTGGGCAACATAGTAAGATCTTGTCTCTCCTAAAAATAAAAGTATTGGCTGGGCTCGGTGGTTCACGCCTGTAATCCTAGCACTTTGGCAGGCCAAGGTGGGCAGATGATGAGGTCAGGAGTTCGAGACCAGCCTGACCAACATGGTGAAACCTTGCCTTTACTGAAAATACAAATATTAGGTGGGTCTGTAATCCCACCTATTGAGGAGGCTGAGGCAGGAGAATCGCTTGAACCCAAGAGGCAGAGGTTGCAGTGAGCTGAGATGTCGTTATATACTCCAGCCTGGTACAGAGTGAGACTCTGTCTTAAGTAAATAAACAAACAAATAAATAAAAGTATCTAGGTGTGCTGGCTCACACACCTGTAGACCTAGTTACTCAGGAGGCTGGGGTGGGAGGATCGCTAGAACCCAGAAAATGAGGCTGCAATGAGCTATCATTGTGCCACTGCACTCTAGCCTAGGTCAAAGAGCGATCCCTACTTTGGAGGCCAAGGCGGGCGGATCACCTGAAGTCAGGAGTTCAAGACCAGCCTGACCAACATGGTGAAACCCCGTCTTAAAAGAAAAAAAAAAAAATTTAAAAAAAGAGTGATCCCTTTAAAACAAACAGAGCCAACAACAACAACAATAACAAAAAAAAAACATTAAAAAAGAGCCAGAGCTGGGCGCAGTGGCTCACGCCTATAATCCCAGCACTTTGGGAGGCCCAGGTGGGTGGATCACCTGAGGTCAGGAGTTTAAGACCAGCCTGACCAACATAGTGAAACCCTGTCTCTACTAAAAATACAAAAATTAGCTGGGCATGGTGGTGCATGCCTATAATCCCAGCTACTTGGGAGGCTGAGGTAGGCGAATCCCTTGAACCCAGGAGGTGGAGGTTGCAGCCAGCCGGGGCAACAAAAGTGAAACTCTGTCTCAAAACAAACAAACAAGAATGGGAGGAGATTGACTACAATAACCAAATTTCATTTAAATGCCTTGATTCGCTGGAGCTGAATCTTACTGATTGGAAGACTCAGTGCCTTTTGTTTTCTTTTCATCAATAACTGAAGATTCCTGAGGCTTCAACTGGAAAACAGGCTACTTGATAATGGAGGGCAACCAGACAGCTTCCACTCAGTTTCCCTTTATTTCTGGTTCTTTGCAACCATCCATGCAAGGGTAACTCCCTCATGCATTCTCAAGCCTGAATTCCACTCTAGACATGCAGATTCCCATTTTTGACTCTATAGGACACAAGTCCCTGAAGTCTCGTCCAATCCATGTCAGCGTTTCCCAAGTCCGGCCCCTGGTTCATTACCTTTCCTTTTCCACTTTCAGAGCCGTGTCTGAAACGATGGGTTCTGTGCTCCCTTGAGGATGTACCTAAGACCTAAGTTTTAGTCTCCAAGTGTCCAGAAGAAAGCATTTGATACATCCACCCAAACAGGCAGATATTCAACAGCTGCACTGATTTACCTCCAGGTCATAAAATGCCCTGTGGCCGCAGCGAGGGCAGCAGGCAGTACAGAACAAGATCCTCTTGGTCTGCCTCAAGTCCTTCACTCTCCCCATCAGCTCAGCCCCAAGTTGGGCAAATCTCCTCCGGCAGAGAGCACCATAAGCATCATAACTCTCCCGTGGGGCAGGATACAGCTCCAAGCGTAAGTTGTTCAGTCTGATTGTGTGGGACAGCACGTTCTCCAGGGTGGCCATGGAGATGGGATTTCCACACAAGCTGAGGGTGGTGAGCTCAAAGCAGCGGCTCAGGGCAGGCAGGACGGCGTTGACTTGGGAGTCTTCGATCCCACAGTCATCTAAGTCCAGGTACTCCAGGGTGGCTGCCACTTTTTCTAGCAGAAGTTGGAGAGGCACAAGACTCAAATTGGCCAGGCTGATGCCACTCAGGTCCAGGGTCGTTAGTTGACTGATGCTCGGGGACTGGGACAGATGCCTCAAGTCTGATTCCGAAAGCACACAGTTCGTGATTGTGAGGGTCTTTAACGGGGCCTTCAGACAGCTGGAGAGAGAGCAAGAAGTTAGTTCTGGGGAATCATAGGGGTGAGTGGAGGGTGGTGGGGGATGACTTCAAGGTGATGGACAAAGACCATTTTGCCCAAGCCCAGGGTCATTCTGATTGTCTGATAGTCAACACTTAGGATGCTGCGTGATGAAGAACTTTGTCACTGAGATCAAGTCCATCTTAGGCCCGGCACAGTAACTCGCACCTGTAATCCGAGCACTTTGGGAGGCCAAGGTGGGAGGATCACTTGAGGTCAGGAGTTCGAGACCAGCCTGGCCAACATGGTGAAACCACATCTCTACTAAAAACGCAAACATCAGCCGGGTGTGGTGGCAGGCGCCTGTAATTTCAGCTCCTTAGGAGGTTGAGGCAGGAGAATCGCAAGAACCCAGGAAGTGGAGGTTGCAGTAAGCAGAGATTATGCCGCTACACGCCAGCCTGTGTAACAGAGTGAGACTGTGTCTCAAAAAAAAAAAGAAAAACAAAGAAAAATTCCATTTCCGGCTAAGTCTTTTCACCATCATTTATAGGAATGGATCAAGTTCACAGAATCCCTGAAGCTCCCTTTACTCATCTGTCAGGGAAAAAACCACATCTCTGGGCCACAGGAGCCCAGTGGGGACACAGGCTTACGGACAAACCCAGGCGGGATTCGGCAACATCAGCTGGGGTGCCCAGGCTGCAGGGGTCCCTGACACGCCTGTCTAATCAGCAAACTATTTATCACTTTCACAAGCCTTTGTGCCTACTCTCTGACCTTCTGCTTCCTAGGTCATTAATTTACCTGGAGCTCAAAACAACCTATTGTGACAGGGAATTAGAGGTGAGATCATTCATGTTCCCCAAGCTGTTGAGCACAGAGCTTGTATTATTCTGAAACGTGCAGGTTTGATGAGCATTCCCCTTTTCAGTGCCCACTTCACTTCCCCACCTCCCAACATCCTTTTTTTTTTTTTTTTTTTTGAGACGGAGTTTCACTCATGTTACCCAGGCTGGAGTGCAATGGCGCGAACTCGGCTCGCCGCAACCTCCGCCTCCTGGGTTCAGGCAATTCTCCTGCCTCAGCCTCCTGAGTAGCTGGGATTACAGGCACGCACCACCATGCCCAGCTAATTTTTGTATTTTTAGTAGAGACGGGGTTTCACCATGTTGACCAGGATGGTCTCGATCTCTTGACCTCGTGATCCACCCGCCTCGGCCTCCCAAAGTGCTGGGATTACAGGCTTGAGCTACTGCGCCCGGCCCTCCCGACATCTTTTTAAAACTAATCTTGTTTGGCCGGGCATGGTAACTCAAGCCTGTAATCCCAGCACTTTTGAAGGCCAAGGCCAGGAGTTCGAGACCAACCTGACCAACATGGTGAAACTTGGTGTCTACTAAAAATACAACACTTAGCCGGGTGTGGTGGCGAGCGCCTGTAATCCCAACTACTCAGGAGACTGACAGGAGAATCGCTTGAACCCGGGAGGCAGAGGTTGTAGTGAGCCGAGATTGCGCTACTGCATCCAGCCTGCGTGACAGATCGAAACTCCGTCTCAAACATAAATAAGTAAATAAATAAAACAAACAAATAAAAATTATCTTGTTTGGGCTGGGCATGTTTGCTCACACCTGTAATCCCAGCACTTTGGGAGGCTGAGGCAGGGGGATCACGTGAGGTCAGGAGTTTGAGACCAGCCTGGCCAATATGGTGAAACCTCGTCTCTACTAAAAATACAAAAATTAGCCAGGTGTGGTGGCCCACACCTGTAATCCCAGGTACTCAGGAGACTGAGGCAGGAGAATCACTTGAACCCGGGAGGTACAGGTTGCAGTGAGCCGAGATCATGCCACTGCACTCCCCCTGGGCAATAAAGTGAAATTCCATTTCAAAAAAAAATTATCTTGTTTGTTTTTATTTTTATTAATTCATATTTTTAGTCAGTAGTCTTGCTGTGTTACCCAGGCTGCTCTAAAACTTCTGGGCTCAAATTATCCTCTTTCCTCAGACTCTCAAAGTGCTAGGATTACGGGCATAAGCCACCATGCCTGATCTATTTCTCATCATCTTAACTTAGACATGCGTCCTCAGGAGGAGTTCACAAACACACCCTCCCTAGAGCTGAACCCTCCAGTAGCCAGCTTCCTAGCATGGCAGCCTCTCCATAGCATCTACCCCCGCTGATCCCTCTGCCTTTATTGGGATGGCTGTGTGATACCCATTTCAGGACAGAGCCGCCCACAGGAAAATGTACTGACATTCTAGTGTCCCCTTCACTGTCACCTCCTCATAGGCGGTCACAGTAGATGCCCACTAGCGTTTACTGTGACCTGCAAAGTCTCTGCTGCGGCCTGCAGAGAAAGCTCACCATCATTCCTCACCTGAGCAGCTGGGCCAGATGGCCTTCGAGGAACGAAACACGGTTCATATACAGCTTTTGGAGGTGGTGCAGCTTGAGGAACTGAGAGGTGAACTGGGTAACAGACTCCTTCTTCTGCTCTGGGGAAATGTAGCGAGGGAGGTCGACATGGGAGAGAGTGAGCTTATGAAGATTCCTCATCTGGCCCAGGTATGGGGTAAACTCTGCCAGATCGGGCAGTCGCCACCTGCAATTCACTTCCGCCTCCTGGATACACTCTGGGTTCACCATATTCAGGATGTTTTTGATTTCATGGAGGGGCGTTCCCAAAACTTTCAGCTTCTTACAGCACACGTGTAGTAAACCTTCCCTCTGCTTGACCCACAGAAAGAGGCAGGTGAGGCATTCATCTAGAGTCCTGCTCTTGAGGCAAAGGTCTATGAACACAGTCAAGCGCTGCTGTCCTCTCATCACTGGACAGTCCCGAGCTGGTTTCCTCCTCCTCGTGGCATTTGGTAAGTACCCGCGGGCCATGGCTTCAGACCACACCATCCAGAAGTTCTCACTGACATCCTGTAAATCCAGGACTTGAAGTTTTCTTCTGTGGGAAGATAGAGGAGAGGCTGAGAATGTGAGCAGTTACTGCTGAACGTCAACTTCACATCCTGCACGTCAGCTGCTCCCCTCCTTGCTTTTTTCTCTCTGACTTTTCTCCACCCTGCTGTCCCCTTGGATCCTGTTCAATTCCACTTTCTCTTTATTCTGAGAATAAGTCTCCCTCCGTCGCCCAGGCTGGAGTCCAGCGGTGAGATTTCGGCTCACGGCAACTTCCACCTCCTGGGTTCAAGTGATTCTCCTGCCTCAACCTCCCGAGCACCTGGGATGACAGGTACTCACCACTATGCCCAGCTAATATTTGCATTTTTAGTAGCGTCAGAATTTCACCATGTTGGCCAGGCTGGTTTCAAACTCCTGACCACAGGTGATCCACCCTCCTCAGCCTCCCAAATGCTGGGATTACAGGTGTGGGAGTCCGTGCCCTGCTCAGTTCCCACTTTTAGTGGTGCCTTTCATTGCCACTAGGAGAGAGGTTCCTGTGACCTCCATGGACCCTGTGTGATGAGCAGTCCTTTCCCTGAGGAGCTGGGCAATGGCCAAGGCCTCACTGAGCTTTCTCATCAGTACCATCAGAAGCCTGTGGGCTCCCCGTTGGGCCTCCCCACTCCTCACGACCCAGCTCTTCCTCCTCTGGACACCTGGGCTCTCCCTACCTGCCCACCTGGGCCACCTCACCTGAGACGAACCCCCTGGGTCAGCAGTGCATCAAGCCCATCGAGCACAGCTTGGAAGGTCTCCAGGCAAGGCGTCTTCATCAGGGACCCCAGAGGGAGGCGGGGGAAGGGCCAGGCCTGCACCATCACCTTCAGGGCCTCACAGTGTCTCCTGCTGAAGGCCTCCATGAACAGCGGGGGGAAAAGTTCCATGGGCAGCTTCTCCAGGGTGCAGACAGCCAAGGCCTGGTCCCTCAGCAGGCTCCGCCCCACCAGCTCCAGGAGTCTGGGTGGAGTCTGGATGCTCATCTTCACCAATCTGCAAGGAAAAGTTCCAGAGGACACATCCAGAGAAAAAGCATGGCTCTCAGACCAAGCCCATGCAATCTCATCCTCTCCTAGGGCCAAAGGCAGTGCTCTGGCCATGGTGAAAGAGTCCTCAGTTTTCTCCAATTCTACTCTGTGCTCAGTGGCCACAAAGCCAGCTTTCTGTCTCTGCTGGCATCAGCACGAGCATCTCCCAAGCAGTGAGGAGGCAGGACCACCACTAGCCCTTCATTTCCATCCAGTGTTCCATCCACTGAGTAGTGAGTATGGGGGAGCCTGCTAACCCCTCCCACCTTTGGGGGAGATTTCTAACTACTCAAGGTTCTAAAACAACGGGAATGTTATGTCACAAGCCCTACATGCCGACACTCATATTTCCTACAAATGAGATGGCTGGGAACACTCACTGGTCATCCCTAGAATGGGTTTTTCTATTTGTTTTCTTTTTAGTATTTAAGCTTACTTTCTCTATTTGTCTTTCCCTTTCTCTCTCTCTTTCTTCTTTTCCTGTTTTCCTTCCTTCTGTCTTCCTTTCTTTTCTTTTTTTTTTTTTTTTGATAGGATCTTGCTCTGTCACCCAGGCTGAAGTGGCTGGAGTGCGGTGGTGCTATCTCAGCTCAGTGCAGCCGTGACCTCCCAGGCTCAAAGGATTCTTCCACCTCAGTCTCCCAAGTAGCCAGGACCACAGTCCTGCAAAAACATTCCCAGCTCATCTTTTATTTTTTGGCTTCTTGTAAAGACAGTGGGTTTCCCTATGTTGTCCATGCTGGTCTTGAACTCCTAGACTCAAGCAATTCACTCGCCTTGGCCTCCCAAAATTCTGGGATTATAGGCGTGAGCCTCCACGCCTGGCCTCATTATTTAAAATTTCAGTGAGAAATTTTTAAAGCTATGTGACAGTATTATGGATCATTTGCAAGACAGAGATGTTTCCAGTAC